ATGTTGGATTGTGATCCCGTGAATATTTTTAATCGTTGTTATTTATATGTATATTTAGAATGCGATTTTGATCTCAGTAAATGCTATCAAACGACGTGTGAACATCCCAATATCGTCTTTCTTTTCTTAGTTCTTTATTGTTGACACACTTTCACACAGAGGCTACTGTCGACAGCTTCAACAAGGACCCCAAGCTGTAGACACTTTTTTCAGTCTTGTGTTTTCTTTTTCTTAACTTTCTCGGCTAAATGTGTACTGAATTTTACTTTGAATATTATCCAATCAGATTGTACATCGTGTCTATGCTCAACTTCCTAGTTTGAGATATTGAGTTGTGCGATGTTTGAATACTTAGTCTTCTGTATGTATGTGCATGCCTGTTTCCAATCTCACTCATCTATAAAGGTCATGTGATTAATTTCAAGCCGAATCCTTGCCCTTATTTCTTCTCGACGTACGTGTGCAAACCGTATCTGTTGTCCGGCGCCATTAAATAAATCACGGAACATGTTGAGCTGAATCATAGTTTGATCATACCCTTACCCTCTATTAAATGAAGCCTATGTTTTATCTGTGATGTAATTTGTATGTCCTTATTAGCGACTTTTAAAAACATCAATGGAATCGATATGCCTGCTGTTCAATTCAAAAGTTTTACCCCTAACGACTAGGCAAATGTATGGAAAATTAACTACCTTCTCTGTACTACTGCTAAAATAATAAATATACATAGCCTTCTCAGAGAAACTATGAAATATACGAAAAAGTAATATATAAAAATTCTCCATACCACTTGGTTCGAACGCTAAAATAGTAAATATACGAACAAAATTGTAGTTCTCCGTACCAGGCTCGAACTGGTGACTTCGGACTTATTAGGTCCGCACTCTAACCAACTGAGTTAACAGAGAATGTAGGTATATTTTAATTTTAAATCATATTATAAATAAAATAGTTTTCGAGTTTTCGTCTCTCTCCGTTTGACAATAAGCAGCATATTCATTTTAACATTCAACTCGAGGTCTTAATAACATTAGCAAACGATCACTTACATCCCAAGGAACGCATGTATTCAAAATGAATTTTTCGAATTGGCTGACGCACAATTTAAATTTAAATTCATTATTTGCTATGCAAACTAGAGTAAACGATTGATGAAATTACTCTAAGCTAAACCACTGGTATAACCACTAGTATAAATATTGGGTTGCTCAACCTCAAATCAATCGTGAAACATACATATCCAAACAGAAGAGTGATACTCTATTACAGGCAATTTTTGAAAACAGACTATTTGCCAGATTGCAATCTCGCATTTTACAGCAAACACACTCCCAAGTGTGGATAGTACTGAAGTTCCAGTCGACTAGCGTGGTCGTCCATACCGTACTTGCTATAGAGATAACCTCAACGTTCTGTAATACATGAGAGATCGATACACGAGAGATCGATACACTTGTGACATGGTATACGAACCTATATACAGTTGTATTGTTGTTCGCCGTCTACTCTTTATCTAATGTTCAACACTTTGACTGATTGCTAACGTCGCGAAACTCTGCGTGGATTCAAGCGCCTGGCCGTGCTACAACATCTAGATGTCTAGAATTTTAGACAGGCCGGTCTTATCGCCGATATAAGATGTTCATTCGGCTGTGTGAGAGCGGGGAAAATACCGTCTTGAGTGCTCAAGGGTTTGTAATTGAATTTTTCAATCACGATACCCACCACATAGCACCTCCGCCTCGTAGTACCGGCTCGAAATCCATATCCCAATCAATCATTTGGCGCAATGTATCAAGCGCTAAAGGAAAATAATCATATGGGCTCGAGCTAATATGTATGTCTTCGATTTTCGCCAAAGATGATAATTCTTGTAATTTCAACATATATCTTCAAATATCATGCGCGTGCAGCTACAGACAGAACTATATTAAGTATCACGTCGAATGGGTAGTGACATTCTGGTTCATAAATGTGTTAGCACTCGTGGGGCTGGTTAATACTTTATACGCGAGGTTATGCAGTGGCAGCTAGCTGTTATTCAGTACAGCGATATTATTCACTTTGAGTAAACTCATTCGACACTGTTGCATACCTTAATACATATATATCGCCCTCGAAAATCCGCAGCAAACTAGTTCTGTTATCATGAGTTTTTCTATTCTTTGTGCTTGAATAGCGGTATAAGGCTCTGTTGAAATAACATATAATAGGGCACCATCGTTTATCTAGGAGATGCGCAAGCGTAAATCTTGTCGGTATTTATACTGTACACTAGGTCCTGATGCGTATTAGCTTTCGCCATAATATACCGGTTGTGGTGGTCCGAGTAAATTTTTCATGATACTAGAAGCATCTTCGGTTCGTCTACAAATCAATTGTTCAACTTTGTCAATATGAACATAAGTTGATGAGCTTTAAGAAGCAGGCATATCTGGAAGTGGCCTGTAGCTAGTTTTTTTAATTAGTGACCATCAAAAGGTGTACTAGACACCACGATTATATTGAGGCACAACATCCCGGGGATCGAGTTATATTCAGAATCATCGCTAGGACACGCTAGGAAAATATTCATGTCAATAACGAATGCTTCTAAAAAAATTAACGAAGATAGAGTTTTGAAAGTTTTTCTACTCCCTACTACATGCCAAATAGCATCATGATATATGTATTCTCAGTGTAAGCTATTATTCGGTTGATATGTATTCAACTTGGACATGATATAGTTCGTTGGATAGTGAGTGTAATTTATGAGAACAATGAACATTCATCAAATGGTCACTTTGGAATCAAACCATAAAGTTCGAGAACGAAACAATGAACACCCGTAAAAATGTAAAATTGGTTCAAAATCTGAATAAGAGATTGAGAAAAATTCGACTAAGTATAATTGTCTGTATATATACTTAAATTTTTCTTAAATACCATCGGGGAATTAACTCAGTTGGTAGAGTGCGTGCTTAGCATGCACGAAGTCGGGAGTTCAATTCTCTCATTCTCCAATACTTTCATTGATATTTTGTTTGCGGGGTCGACATACAAGCTCATCTCTTCATATTCAGTCATCCTGTGCAGAAGGTATTCTTTCTATCATAGGCCCTTATTATATGCCGATAGAAACTAATTCCCACCGCGATCATACATGCGTAAATCAAGAGGGTTTCAAGTATGTTTCTTTCTATATTTTGAAGCCTATAGTATACGATACTTTCGCTTGGTATATTCTCATGTAAGATTTAAAAATTATGCCTTTATATAGCAGAACTTCGATAGGTAATGGATTATGTTATGAAAGACTCTTGTGTATGTAATATGCGAGCGGCCTTCCTTTGCACGGGGTATACGTTATCGTTGACGGTAATCTGTACAATGGATTTTGGACTGTACATTGAATTGTCAGCGCTATATATTCAACCTGCTGACTGGTTCTAGATAACTCAGCTTAAGTTGTGTATGGCCTGGGTGAATGACGGTTTGTCGCCTATGTAGCGTCTTGACCGATTAATATAC